GACATAATCCATTTAAATATCATAATGTCAATCATTGATTCACAATCAACAATACATCTTCAAATTGCATATCATAATGTCAACAAAACATCTTCAAATTGCATATCGTAATGTCAATCATCATTCATTGCCAAAATAACATCTTTAATCTATAAAATTAAACTTAAACATCTACATCTCTACATCTAAGTTTCTTCATCTTCAAATGATTCAAAATCTTCATTGATATTATCATTCATGACCTGCAAAATAAAAATAATATAACTTAAATAAGATTATTATTCAAAGAGATTCTATCAACCAGAATATGGATTTTAAAAGAGGAAAATAGGAAATAACAAATTAATGGGTGGATTCTATCAACCAGAATATGGATTTTTTTGAATAATCTTCTCACTAGAAAAGAAGACTCTCAAGACCATCTCGTTGCCGTCACCTGGCGAAGAACCAACATCAAGAAAACCTGTCCAAAACAAGTCAAGGCCTAATGTTAACAATCTGTTGACACAAGAACAACAATTCCCATGAAATGCAGAGCTGTAACAGCATTAGTATGCTCAGAAAACGTAACAAAGCAAAAGCCCGAGGAAACAGTCCAAACCTGTAGCGTATAAGTGAAAAAATCCCATGAATTCAATCTTCAACTTGTTCAATATAATATACAAACAAGATGAAAAGTACAATGCAAGCAGCGAAGCGAATACCTTCACTTTACTATCATCTTCTCCGGTAGCAAGGAGTTGAGTCCGACGAATATGCGACATAATTGACATCAAAGTAATGACCCTGCTGCTTCAAAATATAACTCTCAGACCGCCACTCCCACACAAGAAGCTGACCCAGTTTGGCACAACCAAAGGACAACCAATTTCCAAGGTCATTAAACAAAGCAATGGTGATCTTCTCTTTTGATATGGACATCATATGAATTCACACAAAATCCGGCATCTGATACAACCCAAACACACCGTTTGAAAATCCAACAACCACCATGTCTAACCCTCTGAAAATCCAACACACCGTTTGTTTCAACTGACTGTGTCGTCGGTTTTCCATCCAAACGCCTTCCCGAACCACTGAACAGAATCACTTCAGGAGTCTTTGTTGCTGCCTCTTCTTCAACTGAAATGCAAAATATTCTCATATATATAGTCAAAATCTTCATTTTAAAACAAACACAAAATTCTTAAACATATTCCAAAAGAAAATAAAAGAATCCAAACATTGTGAAGATTTCTTATCAGACAAATCAGATGGCAAATTCTTCTCAGGTTCTTTGTAATCAAGAGGTGGGGCAAAATCTACCTCACAGTCTGTTTCAATTATCGAAATTGCGGGAGAAGGTTTCGTTTCAACCACGTCAATGTAGTACTTTTTTTTGTTATATGGAATCATTATAGTGCGGCCTGTTGTTAAACACGAATAACTCCTCAACGAAGTTTCTAACCTGAAAATAATCAAGGAAAGAAACAAGATATTAGTTTACCGATGCAAATATGATACTTAAGAAACACGTAACTAGATAGGACATTTAATTATCATTCATACATGGCTTTTGGATTAGAGATATCTAGAAAATATTTGGAGTGAGGCTGCAGTTTCACAAAATTTCCTTTGACAAGACTTGTGTTTTTCAGAGATACAACGTCTCTATTCTGTAGGAGCATATCTTCCACCATCTGAAAATTACGACAAAAAGCGGTTACTCAATTAACTAAAAAAACTAAATATGAATAATGAAAGGAAAAACATATATACCCAATTTGGTAAGGACACGGTCCCTTCGTCCGCTGTGAATTCTAAAACTCCGGAGTGAGTAGTTCTATCAGCAGAAGAATTTTTCAGTTCAAATAGCATTGGATATTCTATGTTCACTCGTGCTGCATGATTTTAACAAGAGTATGAGTATGAATTCATGAGAGGAAAAATAATCAAATTGTTGAAACTTGAATGATGAATATAAACTTACAGAGGCTATCTAGAGCTGAAGCAGGCATGATAACTGAAAGAAAAAAGAATTTGCGTTAGCTATCAGAATTATAACAATGTCTAATACCAAAGAATAAAATGTAACCAAATAAGATGTTAGCGCACTTACTTTTATCACCGTGTTCCAGATTCGGCTGTAAAAAATCATTAAAAAAAAAGATTCAGTACAATTGAATGTTTTAGAAAGATCATGTGTACACTAAGATTCTATACTTGAGAAGCATCTGATGACATACCCTATCGAGAGATGAGACCGAAAAAAAACTGTAAACATGCTCAAAAGTCGCATTCTACGGCAGATTCTTCCTATGCTCATTAAAAACCTCATTCAACTGATCTAAATAATCATGAGACTGCAGACTCCTCGCATTCTGGCGCAGATTCCTCGGAAATTCCAAAATATCCTCAGCAAACTGATCTAGATCCTCAAAAAATCGTCATCTGACTCATCATCGTATTCATCTGAGTGATTACTTGTTTGATCTTCAGACAAATTGTTTTCAGGTGAAACATTATTCACCTCTTGCAAATCCTCATTCAACTGATTTTCATCCGAATTCTACAAGAAAAAATAGTTAATGCAACCACATTAATAATAACCTTAATAAGCAACAAATAACTCAACATTAAAATATATTCTGAATCAAGAACATATAAACTAAAATAAAAATGACAAATAACATACCATATTGAGCCGAGAGTAGAAGATAATCGATTAACTGCAAAAGAAAAACAAAAACTGATGGTTAAAAATAACTAACAATAATCAAGTTTCATATATAGAACATTCTTCATTAAGAACTCAATAATCTTAAGAGCTTGCAAAACCAATTAAGAGCTTGCAAAACAGCATCTCTAACCGGTTTTAATCAGCATCCCTAACCGGTTTGACCTATAACCAATTAAGAGCTTGCAAAACAGCATCCCTAACCGGTTTGACCTATAACCAATTATCAGTATATAAGTTGACAAAGAAACATGGAAATTAAGAAACATACAAGTACAAAATTTGAGTCAGAAATCACCTTGTCAAACCTTGAGGAGTCAAGAGAATGAATACAAGAAGGCCTTAAAGACAACAAGAAAGACGCACGACTCAAAGCAATTTGTCCATCCCTAATACCAGCAACAGCAGTAGTCAAAACACTTTGTGTGGAAGCTCCCCCAGCCTAAATGATACTCCTATTCAACTCAATGAGTGCAGGTTTAGCCACAAAATGTGGATTTTTAAGCAACTTAAGAATTCTAGTTGTTCTGTGACATGATCAACCAAAATAATCTCAGAACAAAGTCAAGACACACAACATTTGCATAAAAACTTGCACTTTGCACAACCATAACAGAACCAATACTCAAACTTTACATTAAATTCATTTTATTCTTTGAACCCCTACAACACAAGTATAGTAACTAAAAACCCTCCCACCTGCATGCAATTTCGTCGTTTAACCAAAAACCCTAACCAGTATAATATGTTTCATTCATAACAGTACTTATTAATTTATATGTTAACTAACTACCAGTAACAGTTCAATACAGTTCAATACTTACTAAATAGTATTTATTAGCATAACTTATTAATTACCATTTACTGTGATGGGCAAACTACCAGTACCATTTACTAAACAGTACTTATACATCATAACTTATTAATATGTTAGCTAATTCCACCAGTTCAATACTATCTACCAGTTCCTAACTCTTTTTCAATTTCTAACAGTTCTAACAATTAACAACTAGATTTACTAACAGCATAACAGTTCTACATTCTGATATTCAACGGATATACAAAACCCTTAGTTATGGAACTGCTTGTCAAAACGAGTGAATCATGGTTTTCTTTTCTCCTGATTCCACAACTTTTGTTTGTGAAGTTTCTACCCTTCTACCTTGTCTCAAAGAGCTACTCTGGACAACATTTTCAACTGTAGTCTGACATTAGAACAATTCTAAATTTCCAATGTAGGGTATATCATGTTTGATGAGTTCAATAAATAATAAATAGTCTTGGAAGGAAACACTTTTCCTTTTGAAGCTGTTATATGATTGGATAGTAGAACTATCCCCATTTTGTTTCCCTACATAGCTACTGGATTGTGTGGTGTGTATGGCTGGTCTGTTATTCAATCTGGAGAGGGCTGGATCCTATATCTGAAATTTTAGGGTCTACCTTGTCTTGGTCTGGTCTATGGCCTTGTCTTGGTCTGGTCTATGGCCTTACCTATCTGTTATGTATCTGTAGAGTACTCAGACATGAAACAACTGAAAGGTTGAATAAATTGAATAGAGGAAGCATGAAAAGATTGCAGTTAAGATGTAGTTTCAATTTCAAGTTGTTCATAGAATTACTTATACTGCTCATTGTTTTATAAATTCCATAACAATTCAAAGAAGAAAAGGACAATACAACCAGGCATTACTCAAACCAGACTTCAATTAACAAAGCATGAGAAAAAAGTGTTTGCAACAAATAAGCAAAACTTTTCTAGTTCCAAGGTCAACCACATAAGTCATGATTGTTTTATCAACTGAAGACAAACCAACTGATTAACAGACACATAATCAACAAAATATAAATTAAGCTACAAAAACTAATTAACATCATGCTTAAAATAACTGATTAAGCATTTTGCATCCTGAGTGCAAAAGCATTAAGAACCTCTTGATACTGAAACACAGAATTATCAGCATGATTCACCATGGTCTGTTCATTTCCAAAAGGGAAAGACTGAAAAGTGTTGTTAAACCCATTATTAAAATTCTCAAAGTGTTGCATATTAAAATCATTTTGATCAAATCCACCACCTAAATAATCGTTCTTTTAAAGACCCTTTTTAATCTTAAGCGTGTGATCATAGACAGGTGCAGCACTTTTCATATTTCCATCCCTATTATCAGGTTTATTAATACAAACTTCCCATATTTCCAAGTTCCATCCCTATTTAAGACATACACTAAGCTTTTTCTGTGAAACTGACTTCAACATAATTAAGGTTTGTGTTCTTGTTACAATGGAGGATCAGGGTAAGGCTATCTTTACCGGCATAAAAGGGAGAAAACCTCCTAAGGCTAAATGTGGTTCTTGTGAATTGATTCTTAGACTTTTGGCCTTTGTTCTCACCCTTGCTGCTACTATAATTATTGGGATCGACAAGCAAACCAAAATTGTTCCTATCAAGATTGTTGACTCTTTGCCTCCTTTCAATGTTCCCGTTTCTGCTAAATGGCATTACCTCTCAGCTTTTGTGTAAGTTCTTATTATTCTCTTCCTTAGGTTTTGGTAAGAACCTGTTAACAACATCTTTCAATAATCCAGAATTAGAAGACTCTTTAGGAAAAAACTCATTATCTTCATCAGCAGAGACTTTTGAACCATTATTCTAGAGGGTACAGATGCAGAGAAGCGGCACCGACACCGGACAGATGCAGAAAAGCACTAGATAATTTGAGTTAATTAACTATCTCTAACTCAATGACCCACCAAAATAACACAGGGCTACTAATTATAATTAAATTATTACCTTTTTACCAGGATGAACCGAAAACGCGCACACCGCTGAAAACTCGCGCACTATTACGTTTGAAAATTGAGACCTATGAAAACAAAACCGTTAGATTTGTCGGCAGAAAATAGAGAAAGTTGAAGGAGAACATTTACACACACAAGTTTGGGATGAATGTTAGGGTTTGAGAGAATCATACCATGAATAATCAATATGGGATGAAGAACAAAATGTTAGAGTTTGGGAGAAGCTCGATGAAGAATCAATTTGGGATGAATATTAGGGTTAAGGAGAAGCTCGTACGTTTGAGAGAATCGTTCGATGAAGCTCGTATTTGGGAGGGACAATGAATCGTTTGAGAGAAGCTCATGGAGGGAACTGAAAATTTTACTCAGGTTTGGGAGGGAGAATGAAAGGTATACACATATGAGAACGGTGGAGGGAACTGAAAATTTTACTCGTGGAGGGAGACTGAAAATTTTGTTAGTAATAATATTTTATTAAAATAATTAAAAATTATATAAGAACGGCTCTAGCCATTGCTAATAGGAGCCGTTCTCATTGCCCTCTACCAGAACGGTTTCGGGCCGTTGTATAAAATTTACAAAAAATTAAATATGCTACAACAACAAATTATATAGTTAGTTGCCTATTACTCTCTACGAGAACAATTTTTTTACTTCCTGAAAATTAGGCGTTGCTATAGAGTAAAAATGTTGTAATGTAAGTTCAATGCCCGTGTTTTCGTAGTTTTGTCGGGGGAAGTTGGGTGTGGTGTGGATGGTATGGTTGTCTGAATTGGTACGTCGAATCGGTTTGGAAACGATGTATTGGTTGTTGTGGGGTTTGGTAGTCAAAAAATGGATAGGTATTTTGTTGGTAGGAAGATTGATTGTCTAGTGTGGGGTCAAAAGAGTTATCTGGGCTATAGGTGGATGGGGTATGGTTAAAAGATGTATCAAGGCTATATTTAGAAGTGGTGTCGGTTTCAGAAGGCTGATGATAGGGGTAAGGCTCTTGTTGTTGTGATTGGGTTGGTGGCATGTATGGGTTGCGGTTTTAGAAGATTGATTAGGTGGACATAGTTGGATGTTGGGTATAATATGGTGTTTGATGTTGGGCATTGGGTTGCTGTTGTGGATTCGAGGAAGACGCACGTTGCCTTGAATTAATCAAATATGTCGGCTCAGACATAAATGGTTGTGCGGTTGTAACCGACCTAAACCAAATCATATATTGATAACTTGGTCTAGCCCCTTCCACAATTGGGTCGATTAAGATGTGTTAATGTCGGTTCTTCCAATGCAGACACATCTCTTTCGCAAAGTCCTTCCAATGATTTACACTCCATTGTGTATCCACCCTTAACTGATGTCAGTGTCCCAATGACGTGTGAGCATCTGGAATATCCTAATGCATCCCGAACTGTAGTTTCACCTAGTCACTTTGGTGCATCTCCATTGTAGTGAACCGAATGATAGGTGTTTTAGATGTTCACACGACAACATCATTGGCGTTGGGCTAGTGGTCGAGACCCTCGTACGACATCCAGACAAACTACATTAACAATATATGCAATGAGAAATACAAGTATGTGTTTATCAATTAGACAAAGTAATGGTAGATAAATTACATCATCTGGCCCAATGTGTTCAATAAGGTTGCAGTGCACAATTATGGAGTTCCTGGGACATCTTTGGTAATTCATTCCCGGAACAGACCACCTAAAAAAAAGAAACACAAATAAATTAGATACTAAGAAACATTGTACAAATGATTAAGTTACAAAGAAACATCGTTTGTATACTCGTCTTGAAAATAAACTTACTTGTTAGCATATGGGAATGTGAATGGATTGCGGTTGACTGGAGCAAGTGTTGGCATCCTAGACCAACCCCACACTTGAAGGAGATAAGCACAGCCATAAAAAGTACAAGATTTTTTTTTTTTGCATTTTTACATAATGCACTGTATAGATGGGCGATGACAGCTGAACCCCAACTATATGTGCACACTTTATTAATATTGTGCAACAACGGTAAATACATAATATTTACAGTATTTCCAGTACTGTCTAGAAATAAAAAATGGCCAAAGAATATCATAATATAGCACCGAGTTTTAAGTATCTTCTCATACTCGGTGGATTCCTCATTTAACACGATACTATTGTAGTGTTGTCTGAGGTATTTCAAATTAATACCTTGCCCCCTCGATCGATCCTCACATTGTGGAAGATGTAGTCTTACAAGTATGCAGCATCCTGCAAGACTAATACTGTAGCCATGTGTATACATTTATTAGTAAGAATCTTGTAGGCATTGATAGAATCAGAGTGTAAACGATAGGCATGCAGAGTGCATACGGTAGGCATGAAAAGTGCAGACAGTAGGCATGCAGAGTGTAAAGTGTAGACATAGTAAGAATCTTGTAGGCATGCATAGAATCAGAGTGTAGACGGTAGGCATGCAGAGTGCAGGCGGTAGGCATGCAGAATGCAGACGGTAGGTACGCAGAGTATAGAGTGTAGACATAGTAAGAATCTTGTAGGCATGCATAAAATCAGAGTGTAGACGGTAGACATGCAGAGTGTATAGTGTATCCATGCAGAGAATCATGTAGGCAAGCATAGAATCAGAGTATAGACAGTAGGCATGCAGAGTGCAGACGGTAGGCATGCAAAATACAGACGATAGGCACGCATGGGTTTAGTCTTGTCATGCAGAGAACCTTGTAAGAACACAAGGTTTAGTCTTGTCATGCAGCTCACCTTGTAGGCACGCAGGGTTTAGTCTTGTCGTGCAGAGAACCTCGTATGCACGTAAAGTGTAGTCTTGTAGGGACGTAGAGACATGTGATGAGTGCAAATCTAATAATAAAAAACAACATTTTATTGCTATTAATACAGTCGAGATAGCTGATTTATTATCATATCAATTAGTTAAACAATCTCTTCAAACACAAGTTTACTAAAATTTTAGTTATGGCTCAAACACCACAATACATGATTAGTGCACATTTAAGCGGTGAGGTTTTTGAATGTAACTTAGCTAGTTTCAATTTTCGAAATACTGATGTTACTGGATTTTTGATTGACAAAAGGTCAAATTTTTTACACTTGAAGTCGAGATTAGAAATGAAATTACAATGTGGTCCAGTTGGCCAAATAATCTACAACAATCCTGTATTCTTTGGCGGGCACGATCAATGCAAAATTTTCCAATTAAAGACTTGAGACGATGAAGATGTGTGTAGCATGTTCCGCAGTCATGAGTCTTCTGGTTTCTTAGATATTTTGTTATATGTTACGTTACAACAACAACAACTATCTCAACAACTTGATTCTTCTCAAGTTTTTTACGAATCTGATGAGGAATGCGCTGAAGTCGATGCCATTGATGAAGAAGAAGAAGCAGCTGAAGTCATTGTTGACGACATGGTAAACAACGAGGAAGAGGGGGTTCCACCCAGTCATGTTTATTTTCCAACACAACACATGACAACTCTCGACTTAGGTGACGATGAACCCTCAACAGATATTTTTTATAACCCTAACTACGCAACAGAAGGACTATTAAAAGAGGGCGACAACTTTCGTACAAAAGAAGATTGTGTCTGAGCAATTAAACAATATCACATGGACTTATATAGATTCAATCAAACAAATCCGACTCTCTATAAGATCTATTATCGTAATGAGGTGTGTTCGTTCCGATTAACAGCGTCTTTCCGGAAGAGAAGTGATTCATGGAAGATAGGGTCAATGGGTCCATCCCGCACTTGTATAATCAAGAATCCGATTCAGGACCATCACAAGCTCAACTCTCAATTGATTAGTGATGAGATTCTATCAGTCATTAGAGACAACCCTTCTTTGAAGGTGAGTACCATAATTTCACATATGGTTTAAAGGTACAATTACACTCCTTCGTATCGGAAAGCATGGATAGCTAGGACTAAAGCGGTTGAAAGGGTGTTTGGAAATTGGGAGGAGTCTTACAAAGAACTTCCAAAATTCTTGGTGGCTCTTAAACAATATTCTCCTGGGACTGTTTCCATATTGGAGACAATGTCGGCGTATACACCAGACGGGACTTGCATTAGTGGAAATGGCATTTTTCACAGACTCTTTTGGGTGTTTGAACCATGTATCAAAGGATTTGCTTATTGTAAACCTATAATTCAAGTTGATGGAACTGGTTTTATGGGAAATACAAGGGCACGCTATTCATGGCTGTGGCACAAGACAGGAACAACAACATTTTTCCAATAGCCTTCGCTCTAGTTGAAGGGGAGACTGTTGGGGGTTGAAGTTTTTTCCTAAAAAATATCCGCTTTTATGTTTCTCTCCAACCTAACTTACGTTTGATCTCTGATAGACACCCATCAATCGAGAGTGCATACAAGAACCTTGATAACGGTTGGCAGGATCCTCCATCGACCCATGTGTATTGCATAAGACACATCGCCCAAAATTTCATGCGGAAAATCAATGATAAAAAAAACTAAGGAAGAAGGTTGTGAACGCAGGATATGCACTAACAGAGCCCACATTCAAACACTACTGTGACGAAATCAGACTGACAAACACATATGCATTAAGATGGATTGATAATATTGACAAATATAAATTGGCACGGGCATACGACAATGGGGTGCGATGGGGCCACGTGACAACTAACCTCATTGAATCAATGAATTCTGTTTTCAAGGGAATTCAAAACCTACCGATAACTGCCTTAGTAAAG